TGTAATAAGAGCAATAGCTAACAATTATGTAGTACTTTAAAATTTGAATATATTTATATCATTTATTTCTCGTACCAACTCCATGAGTTAGGTGCTATTAATACCCTCACTTTACAAAGGAAGAAACTGAGGCTGAGAGGTTAAGTGCTTTACCCAGAGTGGCATAGTTAGTGTCTGAAGTAAGATTCAGACTCAGGTCTTCCTGATTCCAAGTCCAGTGCTCTATTATACCATCTGACTTTGGTTAATTGTAATTAATTAAAATAAAATGGGACCAAATGGCAAATTTTCTTCTTCCTCCAAATGTAGGCCTCTCTCCATGTAGGTGAACTATTCTCTATTCCTGCTGGGCCCCAGGATAATCTCTCTCTCCTTTCAGCTACAGACCTCTCCCTCAAGTCTTAATGTCCTAGGGTCTCCCCCAACTGGGTCAATGTCATTGTATATCGTCTCCCATTCAACTGAATTAGTCTTTACTGCTTTGTATTATTTCTATATCATGATTTTTTTCTTTTGGAGTTTTTTTTTTTTAAAATTTGAGACAATCAGGGTTAAGTGACTTGCCCAGGGTCACACAACTAGTAAGTGTCTGGGACTGGATTTGAACTCAGGTCCTCCCGACTATAGGGTGGCTTGCTCTGTCCACTGTGCCACCTGACTGCCCCTATATAATGAGTTATAAAGTTGATTGAAGGACAGATTTTGTGTTGCTTGGCCCAAATGCCAAAATACCTAGTTACCATTCTTCCGATGGTATTCTTTTGTCCATGGTATTCATGATAAAAGTGGATTTCATATAGTGGATTTGCTTCAAGTAGCATAGACCCAAATGAATTCATAAAGCAGATGGAAAGATGATGCCTTGTATGGACCAATTTCATTTTTATACAATACGATGATATGTCATTGATCCTAATTGGAGTTTTTACTCAGCTTCCCAGAATCACATAATTGGAGGGTTGGAAGGAACTTCAGTGGCCATCTGATTCAATCCCCAAACTAACTCTACATGATGAGTGCTTGCACAACTCTTTGTTTAATAAAGAAGATTTCTTGGGTAATGTTTGTCAGACTCATCTCTCCCCAGTGAGGAAATTCTCTGCCTACACAGACATGCCATTCCACCCATGAAGATGAGGGCATTCACCCTGATGTCAAAGTTCTATTCTAGGTGCTCTGGCAGGGGCTCAGGAAGATTTGGGGGAAGGACCTCTATTTTCAGATGTTGCAACTGAAGTCTTCAAGCAGAAGCACTTTTTGGGGGTGGAGTTGTTGGGGAGGAGCTTCCTATTCATGTATGAATGGGATTCAATGATCTCTGATTCCTCTTCCAACCCTGAGATGCTGTGATTCAATTCAATTCAGCAAGTGTACTATTATTAAGTCCCTGCTATGGCACTGTTCTAGGTGCTGAGGGTACAAAGACAAAAAAAGAAACAATTTTTGTTTCCAGGGGAAGCTTCTAGTCTGCTGATTAAAAGTACTGATTTCGAGTTAGAGAACATGGGTTAGAACGCTCCACTTTGGTTGCCTGTGTATCCTTGGGCCCGTCATCTGTTTGCTCGTCTGCAAAATGAGGGGGGTTGGGCCAGATGGTCTTTGAGGTTTCTGCCAGCTCTAAATCGAGTATCCTATGATTATTTGACTTGGGTTTGAATCCTGGTCTGACTCCTCTCCCTCTCTTCCTCCTTTGCACATTTGAACTCAGGCTCCACTCACACCAATTCCAGGCCATTCCAAACCCCACTTGATTTGGTTCCCCTCTAAATAGTGTCTTCTTCAATTCGGCTGTAAGCTCCCTGAGAACAGGGGCTGGGTTGCTTTTGTATTTCCAATTCACAGGCAAGTCAACTCATCACACCATTGGTCCTCTTTGAGAAGGAAGGGTCAACAACATCAGCAAAGCAAAGGATTTCCAGCACTTTGCAGCCTTTTCATTCCTTCAATCATTCAGTTTGACCTTAGGCAAGTCATTTTTCCTCTCTAGGTCTCAGTTTCCTCATCTGCGAAATGATGTTGTTGGAGTAGATAACTTGTGAGCTCCTTCAAAATTCTTATTGATCTCTTTTGTTTTCACATCATCTCCCAATCCCAGTATATCTCTTTCCTCCCCCTTCTGGAGAGCCATTCCTTAGAACATATCATTTTTAAAAACAAGGAAAAAAGCTCCAGTTCATTAATACTAACCAACATATCAACCAACTCCAGTATCATACTCCTTATTTCACATCCATAGTCCCCACTCTGCAAAGAGGGAAAAGCATTCTTTTTTTTTCTTTTTTTTTTTTTAGGCAATTGGGGTTAAGTGACTTGCCCAGGGTCACATAGCTAGCAAGTGTCAAGTGTTTGGTCTGAGGCCAGATTTGAACTCAGGTCATCCTGACTTCAGGGCCGGTGCTCTAACCACTAAGCCACCTAGCTGCCCCAAAGCGATGCATTCTTATTTCTTTTCCAGGTAGCCAAGCTTGGTCATTACCATTTCATAGCGTTCAGTGTTGACTGTTTTATTCACATTGATATAATCATTGTGTATGTCTTTCCAGTTTTTCCTTCACTTCTCATTAGTTCATGTGTCTTCCCATGCTTCTCTGAGGCCTCTTTCAGCTCTAAACTCTCTAAACCAGGAAGCCTTAACCTGGGGTTCACAGATAGATTACAGGGGATTTGAGAACTTGGTTGGAAAAAAAATACATCTTTATTTTCACTTACCTCTAACTGAAAGTTTCCTTCAATTATGAATAATAAAAAAAAGTTATTCTGGGCAGGCCATAGGCTTCATCAGACTGCCAAAAGGATCCATGACATAAACAAAGGTTAAGAGCTCCTACAAAGGTTAAGAACCCCTACAAAAGTCCCTCCATCTATCCCAGTTGTTCAGGGTCTTTGAAGTATTCAGATCTCGTGGCATGGGCCATAAAACGCAGGTCTTTTATTAAGTTAACCTTTACAGCTTGAAATAACACCCAGGAATGCTTAGGAAAAAAAAAAAACCAACCCAAACAAACACAACCTGTGTTTTATAGCAGGAGAAGGGGATGCTGGGAGGGCAGGAGATTCACTTCTTTGGAATATGATAAGAAATACATGAGGTATAGAGAGGGCAAGTCATTAGATGAAGCAGTGCTCTGTGCTGGTTTGTGTGTGGGAGGTGTATTCAGTTCAAATCGTGCTTAATAAATGCTTCCTGAGTTGAACTGAATTTAACAGTTCACTTTGAAATGTTTTATTGATTTTTTTTTAAATGTGGCTAGCAATTCCCAATGGGGACTCTCAATCCCCAACAGTTAAGCAATACAAACTAATGCTGGTTGTATCTGACATGTCCGGATAGAACGTAAGCTCCATGAGGAAAGGAACGATTTCTTTTTTGTCTTGGTATCTCTAGTGCCGTCTCGTAGCAGGGGATTAATAATCCCTTTGTCTGATATCTTCTTAAAGCTATAGTTCCCAATCTCAGTCCGTTTTTCTGCACATCCCTATTGTCATGTAAATTTCAACAAACACGAATTAAGCTCCAAAGAAGGTCCTAAGTACTTGGCTTTGGGGACAGCAGGAAAAAACAAGCAGTTTCTCACCTCCGGGAGTCTACAGTCCGGAGGTGGTGGAAAGGTGACATAAGATGTGTACACCAGTTCTTGTAACATAAGATAGGCAATGATTGAGATAAAAGACATAGAAGCTGCTCCAGGAAAAGGTGAGGAGAATGAGGTGGTCTTTCCCCAGGGAAGCTCAAAACACATCGACAGACCCTCTCATGGAGAAAAGAGAAGAAAGTGAAATTGTCCCCAGGAATCTGTAATTGTTGATCTTCTACTCAAAGGCAGACCAATACCTAGTCTGTTTATAAATGTCATCTCTCCCATTAGAGCGTAAACTTCTTGAGGTCAGGGACTTAACATTTTTTTTCTCTAGGTTTTCGAATCCTCAGCTGCTACACTGTGCCTAGCACCTGCTTGTGGACAGTCGAATGAATGAATTATTCCCAAGTTGCTAATAAAGAAATTGAGACTTAGAGTACCCCCCACCCCCCAATCCACGAAGCAAATTCTAGTTAAAGAATCCAAAAGCCTATTTAAAACTCAAGGCCACAGCTTGGGGAATCGAGGCAGGGTGCTGGGGTTGGGGGAGGTGGAGGAAGGGAGGGAGGGAGGGATTCATTCATTCAGCAATGATTTGTTTCAGCACCTACTTGCCAGGTACCGTACTAAGCGGGTGTGTGTGTGGGGGGGGGGGGTGTCACAAAGACCAAACCGAAACAGTAAGGTTGAGGACCTCTCAGACCACAATTTGGCCAGCTCACGGTCTTCCAGCGGTTAAACCGCAGGGACAAGAGTTCGGTCCGCGGAGTTCCAGGAATGTGGGAGGGCTTTTGTTGGGGTGGGAGTGGGAGGAGAAGGGGGGGCGCTCCCTCCCCCGGCGCAAGGGGAGGAAAGAGGAGAGAGGCGGCAGGGCTGGCCCGCGGCTGCCCCCCACCCTCCGGCGGCCGTGGGGGCGGGGGCTGCTGCTGCAGCAGAAGCAGCAGGCTAGGGTAGGTCCCCATCCCAGAGGGGAGGAGAAGGGAGGGGAGGCCGGCGCGCGAGCCCAGCCCTGAGAGAGAGGGGGAGGGACGGACCGAGGGAGGGAGGGAGGGAGGAAGCGATGAATATTCAGAGGGGGAGGGGGGAAGGGAGGGGGTTGGCTTCTCCCGGCTGCGGCTGCAGGGAGCCCGAGCCACGGGAGCTGCCGGAGCCACCGGAGCCACCGGAGCCCGAGCCCGAGCCGGAACCCGAGCAGCCGGAGCCGGAGCCGCAGGACGCGTGGAGCAGGCAGCCTGAGCCCGAGCCGCCCGAGCCTGGACGCCGCCGCCTCCGCCGACGCGCCGCTGCAGCTCGGGGGGTGGGCGCCGCTCGCTCCGCCCCGTGGAAGCCCTCCTGGCCGCCGCCGCCGCCGCCTCCGCCGAGGGACGCGGGGCTGCTCTCGCCCGCCCCAGACCCAGCTTGGTGGTGGCCGCCGCCGCTGCCATGTCCCCGGGGAAGCCCGGGGCGGGCGGAGCGGAGAGGAGGCGGAGGAGCTGGAGGCGGCGGCGGCGGCGGCGGCCTCGGCCCCGGCCACCGGCTGCTGCCCCGGGCGCCGAGGCTGCTGCTGAAGCTGCTGCTCCGGGGCCCCGGCGCGCCGCGCTGCTCCCGGGCTCGTTCCGGGGCGCGCGGAGCCCGAAGCCCGGGTGGGCTGGGGCGCAGCCTCGGCTCTGCCTCCTGCTGCGCCTGGGGCTGCTACTGCTCGGCTTCGGCCAGGTGAGCCTGGGGCTGGGGGCCAGTGGGGGGGGGGCGGGGCCAGCGGCGGCTGGGGGGGGGGGGGGAGGGAGGGGCCGGCGGGGAGCTTCGACGTCCCCAGCCCCCACCCCCTTCTGGAGGCGGGTCCCACCTGCACCTGCTCGGGCGGCCCACCTGCGGCATTTCGGTGGCACCCAGGCCAGGGCCGCGCGCCGCGCTGGGGCTTTTTCTCCCCAGCTGGGGCGGCCCGGGGGCTTCCTCCCAGGCTCCGCACCGAGGCCGCCTGGTTGAGTGTGGGGACCGAGGAGACCGGGCTGCCCACCTGCGCGGGGCCCAAGAGGGGTGAGGGGAGGGCGGAGGAAAGGAGGGAGGTGATTGGGGCTGGGGTTGGCATCCTGCTGCTGAGAGTGATAGGTGGGCTGACGTGGGCTCTCGGGATTGGGGCTTGGACTGGTGGTCGCAGGGACAGCTGGGCCAGGAGTTGGGCTCGGGCAGGCATCCCACAGGTTTCTATTGTAAAGGCCATTCATTTTTTTGGGGGGGGGGATGACCTGGAGTATTTTCTTTTTTAGGACCGATACGACGTCGTTCCCCTGCCCCCCACTACATAAATGCTCCCCTTCTAATCATTTTCCTGAAACTGATCCCATCTGGCTGCCTGCAGTGGTGGTGGTGGTCTCTCTAATGTGTGTGTAGCTGCTGTTTGCCCAGAGATTGGAGCTAGTCCGGCTTTTCTGTTGGTGCTTGTGACAGGCTAAGGGAGGTGACTGCTGGGGGTGGGTGGGTGCACCCAAGGAAGCCTGGACACTGTAATTGACATGTCACCCTCCCCCTGGCTGGGCTTCCCCCGGGGCTGGATGGTCTTTTGGACTGTATTTAACTGCTTTCCCGCAGAAGGAAGCGAGTAGGTTTAGAAGGAATGGAGCCTTAAAAAAAAAAAAATCAGCTGACCCTGTTAAGACAGAAGTGTTCTCAGTGGCTCGCTCCTTGTGAGCTGGGGATCTGAGACGTTCTCAGCCTTGGAAAAAAGAGTAGCTGTGGGGTAAGAATGATGCCTTAACTCCGACAGTTCCTTCATAACCATTTCTAAATGCATTTATCTTCGATACTAAATTTTGTCTTAGCAAAAGTCTTTTCCCATATCTTCATTAGACCTTGAAGTGAGCCCTTAAATTCAATATTTGTGTGACATCCTCTCAGACTAAATTCTATGAGACCTACTCTTATCAAAACTTGTCTTATGCTTTCCCTCATTGACAGCGTAGGAGTCTGGGCACAGCGGGCTCTTAATAACTCAGTGGAGTGAATTGAACTGAACTTTACTTCGTGGTGGTGTTGGATGGAGGTATTAACTTACTAATCAACACAGACTGTACGCAGTGGAAAGAGCACTGGACGAAGGGAGCGAGATAACTTCTAGTCCTGCCTTTCCCGCTGAGACTGGGCCAGTGACTCTGACCCTCTGGTCTTGTTGAAGGAGGATGAGGCAATATCTAAGGTTCCTTTGGGTACTTTGGGTGTTTTCAGCTTGCTATTTCATCTGTTTACCCACTCTTTAGCTGCTCTTAGGATCAGGTTCATGCCTGGAATTTTGCAAAACCTAATTCCGTTTTACAGCATCCTTGTAAAAGAGCCAGAAATTCAGGAGGGGTGGGGCATTTCTGTGGAAAGGGAGGGAACTGAGGCAGGGGAAATGAAACCAAGGTCAAGTAGTCTATTTAACTGGGTCTAAAAACAGGTGTTGTTCATTCAAACTATTTGGAAGTGAGACTGAAATCTTTCCAACAATTGAAAGTTGGTGCTTTCTTTGTAGTTTGTGGATGGAAAAACCTCACTTGGTCTATATATCTCCACCATTACAATCAGGTCAAACATGAGTCTCGAGGTTCCAGCAGTGAGCTACTTATTGGCCTAGAAGAGATTTGGTTTTTGGGACACCTTGTAAGTCTCCAAATGAAGGGACAAAAAGCCCTAAGAAAGGCCAGCTTTCACTCATTCTCTTCACGTGCCCCTCCCTCACCTTTGCCCTTTCTTTCCAATTCCATCCTCCCCAAAGCTGTCAAACTGATATTACTACAAAATCGATCTGCCCAAGTTACCACCTTGTTCAAGAGGCCCTGCTGATTCTCCATTGCTTCTAGGATAAATGACAGCCTCCTCTGTTTGGCTTTCAAAGTCTGACTCCTGATTATCTTTTCAGACTTAATTCGTGTTACTGACCAACTTGCAATCTATGGGCCAGCCAAACTGGATTGCTGGCTATTCTGTGAAGGTTTACCTTCACCCAGGCTGCTGTGCCTTGTAGGTAGTCCTGGAATGGGTTCTCCTCTTATAGAACCCTTAGCTTCTTTCAAAGTTTAGCTCAAGTGCCATCTCCAACAGACTTATCTTGACTCCACTTGCTAGTAACCCTCCTCCTGGAGATTATTGGGACCAGAAGCCATCGTGTGCTTTATTCCACAGCTCTTTTTATTATCTCATTATGCCTTTTGATTGATAAGAGTTTCCTTTCCCCATTCAACACTGCTACCACCAAGTAAAGTTCAAATCAATTCACTATTCGGTTATTAAGAACCTGCTGAAAGCTCCCCAGAAGTTACTTATATAAATTTTGTATTAAATTATCTACATGGTCCAGTGGAAAGAACACTGTACAAGTGGAGTCATAAGATCTGAGTTTGAATCCTGGTTTGTCAGTTAATACCTCACTTATCCACTCCAAGCCTCAGTTTCTTTATCTGCAAAATGAAGGGATTGGATTCACCTTCTAAAGTTCTGGCCAGCTGTAATCTACAATCCAGTTGTACTTGATGTCAGCTGAATGATATGGAGGAGCACACTGGATGGGGGCTTGTGAGTTTCAATGGTGGAAACTATAGCCCCTCTGGCTTACCCTTTTGGAACTCTGAGGGGAATAGTCATCCACCCAACTTGCCACCTCAAGTGAGAGTGAAGCTAATGGGGGGGTGGTGCTATATGATGATACTATGCTCCATCCATTGAAATGTAAACTTCTTGAGGTCAGGGACTATTTAATTGTATACTTGGTGCCTATAATATAGTAGAGGCTTAATAAATGTTTATCGAATTGAGGCGTTGTGGGTGACACTTAAGGGCAGCTAGCTAGGTGGCACCATGGGTAGAATGCTGGGCCTCAGGAGGACTGCTCTTTCTGAGTTCAAATCCAGCCTCAGATACTTATTAGCTGTGTGACCCCAGGCAAGTCACTTCACCGTGTTTGCCTCAGTTTCCTCATCTGCAAAATGAGCTAGAGAAGGAAATGACAAACCACTCCAGTATCTCTGCCAAGAAGGCTCCAAATAGCATCACGATGAGTTGGCATGACTGGAAAAAGACTGAACAACAGTAGCAGTAAGGTGGCACTTGGTAGTTCTGTTTCTAGCTGTGAGGAGCCATTGTCATGTTCAAGATTGGGTTGGCTGGAGGATCTGCTTCTCCTGGGGGTTTGACAGATTAGAGGAGATGAGTCTGGAGAGAAGGAAAGCATCCATCTCATTTCAGTGAGCATTGATTAAACTCTTAGCAGGGAGAGAAGCAAGACAGAGGCACCTGTGGAGATTTTTTCCACCGCAGCTGCCTGGACTGCTGAGCCTTGTTTTGATTCAATGAGTTCAGTCTCTTGGGTAAACTTCTTTTCTTGCCCTGGTCTTCCTTGCTTGACATTACATATTATTGCCACCTGATGATCAGTCATTTCCTTATTTTTAGTTCATCATATGATCATAGGTTCAGACTTTGGAGAGGCCTCATAAGTCATCTAGTTCAATAGTCCCGTTTTACAGCTGAAGGAACTGAGGCCCAGAGAGAGGAGAGGACTTTCCCAAGTAAGTAGTTATGATAATCAGAGTTGAGAGTCATAAAGTTTTTAAGTGCTTTGTATGTATTATCTTATCTGATCTTCACAATAACTATGAGGTAGGTGCTATTATCTCCCTTGCATTGTTGTCCAGTTAAGTTCAATTCTTCGTGACTCCAATAGGGGTTTTTTTGGCAGAGATCCTGGAGTAGTTTGCCATTTCCTTCTCTAGTTCATTTGGGAGGCAAACTGGGCTAAATGACTCGCCCAGGGTCACATAGCTAGTTAAGTATCTGGGGCCAAATTTGAACTAATTAAGATGAGTCTTCCTGACTTTAGGCCCAGCACTCTATCCACTGGGCCACTTAGCTGTCTCTTTTACAGATGAAGAAACTGAGGTTTAGGAGGAGTAAAGTAATGTGGTCACCCAGGTGGCAGTAGAAGGATTCAAACCTGTCTTCCTGGCTCTGAATTCAATGTTCTATCTTAGCGGGATTGTTTACAAAGGTAGTAATTACGAGAGATAAGATTTGAATTCAGTTTCTTTGACTCCAAATCCAGTGTGTAGGTGCCTTCTTTAGAAATTTCCCATTCATTGATAATAAGAAGGAGCAGCAGCAGAAGGAGTTCCAGCTTTGGAATCTTTGGGCCTGGCCTCTGCTGCTTACTTCTTGTATGACCTTGGGCATGTCATGCTGTAAAGCCTGTCAGGGCCTCAGTTCCCTCATTTGTAGGAAGAGGATGGATTAAATGATACAATTATAAATTCTATTAAAAAAAAAAACCTGAGACCTATAATTTCCATCAGTTTGGGGAACTCTTGTATGGTAACTGTGGGAGACACCCTCCCCCCCCAGTAAAGGTAGACAACTCTCCTATTATGTGTAAGTCTTCACTGGTTTCTTATGAGGTTTAATGACTTGCCCAGGGTCACACAGCCAGCCAGTACATGTCAGGGGATCATAGATCAAAACCTGGAAGGAACTTCCATCTAGTCCTCCCCCTTCTCTGCCTCCCCCCATTTTACAGAGGAGAAGACTGAGGTCCAGTGAGGATAAATCACTTGCTGAAGGTTGGAGAGGCAGGGATTTGATCTCAGGTCCTCTGATTTCAGAGACCTTTCCAATGTATCCCACTCTCTTTCAGGTCATCCTGACTTCAGGCTCCTCTACTTTTATGCTAGGCTGATTATTACATTGGAAAT